CATCCACTGACCTCTTAAGATGTAATTGGTGTAAATATTTCAGAATTAATTAAAATATGTAATTACATAGACTAAAATTGTGCAGAGTAAATGAAGGTATCAATTATTCGTTGGTTACTTTAATATGTCTTGAAACATATCTAGGTAATATTATGATTTTTCATCATTTTCATTACACATAAGCAACATTTAAAATGCTACAACTTCACCTGAACAGTTACTAGTTTTCATTTGCTAGACAAGTTTTTGTTGTGAAATTCCTTAAGAAATTCTTGTTTCAGGAGATGTGTTCTAGCACAGTGGAAGGCCAAATAGTTTCTATATCACCTTCCAATTTACAGGAGACTCATGAAAGGTTCAATACATTGTACATTGTACAATTATACAGTGCTCACTTTATTAGCTAGTTCATTGGACATTTATTCCTCAAATGTTCAAATTAAACAAAAAACAGACAAAAAATACATGAGAACGGCTACAAATTTCACAGTTGCAACCTTACCTTACAGTACATGCATTTTCTTGCACTCTTTTTTTTTGTTTTGTTGTCTTTTTTTTTTTCACTGCCTGGTTTGGTGATGTGTAAGGAGAACGCAATGTAGGCACGTACGGTATTTTAGGTCATGTAGAATATGTTTAAAATACGTTAATGGGATAATGTGTAAAAGTGGCTGAAAATAATATCATGTATGACAACATAAAACTGTCAAGACAATCAATACCAGACACATCTCCTCATTATCAGTGACACCGACAAATTACAGAAATTGAATACGTATAAAATAACACAAATTAACAGCTCTTTACTATATCTCTTTCTAGGATGAGACCATAGTCTAAAATGTTTGAAAAATAAAAGTAAAGTAAAAGCAGACCAGACAAAAATAGTCTAGAAATTTATAATATCATTTTATGATACCATAAGGGTTCATATGGAACGAGCACATATGGCATATTCAGAAATATTTATAATTTTTGTGTAATATGAACGATCCTTTTAAAATCTGTGCAGTGATGCATTCGTTGCACAATATCACCAACACAGAAATATATCTGGCAAAATCTTTTCACACAGACAATAATTTCCTTAACGTTTAATTCAGGTTGGCAACAAAAGCAAGCTGCAGATTTATTGCACGATTTCCCTAAAAAGAATATTATAGTGATCAGTGATCCTCCATCACATGTCATTGAGCTCTCAGATGAAGGGTTTAGTCACCAGAAGGAGCTTGTTAATGGAAGCATGTTGTAGACCTGAATGTTGGCTATTGTCCACTGTGGTTCACTACTGAAGAGCCATCTGATGGCTCCCTTCAGATCTCTATAAACATTTTCTGTCCACAGGAGATTCCCTGACATACCACAACAACCAAGCCTTCTCTACCAAAGATCAAGACAATGATAGTCATACTTCAGACAACTGTGCAGTTACGTATGCAGGAGCCTGGTGGTATAACAGCTGCCATCAATCCAACCTTAATGGTCTGTATCTGAAGGGACACCATGACACTTTTGCCACGGGAATCAACTGGCACAATGGAAAAGGATACAATTATTCCTATAAGTACAGCGATATGAAAATAAGACCACGGTGAGAGATTATCTCGTGGTGCAGCACAGCGGGAAATCTCTAATTCTTCTCAATGATTTTGTTATAAAGAAATCTTAACATTTCAGGGCACAATAACAGCTGATGCTTAGTTATGAACCTCAATATTATCTTCAGACAAGTATAACATTTTCATTCATCATTCATCACTGTTAGTATAGCTGGTAGGTTTAAAGAGATGTCAGTATTTGTAATTAAATATTGTGCATTGGGTATCCATTAGAGCCCTTTAAGTATACATTGTCACATGTTTATCTATTTAGGAAAATAAGGTAAAGGTGAAATATAATATACCCTAGTACAGCACCACTAGCACACAATTAGTGTAATATACTGTACGTGGAGAAATTATATAATACTTGTTTGATAAACCTTCTTCAGGTTGAGCAAATAGAGCTTTTCTAAAATACCATATTGCACATGATGCAATAGTAACAACAATTTGCACAAAAAAAACCCCATCACATTCCAAACTTTTACTTTGAATAATCTGTTGATTAAAGTAACTTTTGTGCTACACAGGTAATGAGATGTATTGGTTATCTCTTTCTTTGGAACCTACTCATTGTTCCCAGAATTATTTTCAGTACCTTGCTTCTGGGAAACTTTTTCTGTGTTATGGTCTGCATTTTAAATATTTGTGTCTAAAACTCTATTCTACATTCAATGTTACCTTAATTCAATTTAACTTTGATCATTTTAATACATAGGATATGATACATAATTCAATCTTTTGGTACTAAAATAAAGGTTTCTGAAGCACTGAAGGTTGTGTCCTTTAAATTAATTTATAATGTTTTTTTTCTGTTGCATTTGAAGTGCTGTGATTTCACCCTGCTTTGCCCTTGTTCTCTGAACACTGATCACAGTCTGTCCATGGTGCCACTCAATCCCACAAGAATAAAAGGAATAAAAACATCAAACCAGAAGAGCAATAATATAAACATAATGCCCTCTTCTGGTCACTTACATGAGTCAGACCAGTAGTTATGCTGAATTACTCCAAGCCCATCAGCATGTCCCACTTCAAACCATGCAAAATATTTTTTTGAGAATTGAAGGCTCAGATGAATGAAAATATGGTATCAATTTTATTCTGATTTTGTACGAGATTTTTTTGTAAACGGGAACTGTTAGTTGGCACCATTGTTTTCTGAGGCTGCTGATTTATTTCCAGTACAATACTAATGTCACAGGTTGATTTTCAGCAGATATATAAGTATGTCACATTTCTGTCATTAAGCAAGGATCAAAAGAGAAGAACATAGCAAAGAAGAGACGCCCACGGAAGATCTTTTGAATAGCTTTAATAATAAAAGTAACAATTATTTCTAACACAATAAGTCTTTCCCCCACATCCTCCCCTAGTATGTAGGAACTCCCAACAGTAAGATGTTCTTTATTTTCATTCTCAACAAATTAAAATGAATTGAAAACAAGTATTAAACAGAAGAATACACCAAATTAAATATTGATCAGATATTTACAGCTTTACATAAATATGAATATTATTAGTCATTATAATGCTCTGTGTGATCTGGCGTTGGCTTTGCTCTTAAAAGACATGTGCTTTCCAACTAACTAATTTAAACTAATATAATATGTTATAATTTACTATCCCAATGTAAACTAATGTTGTCTGACCAATGGCAATTAAGTTCTGGGCAGGGGGTAAGGTGAAGAGGGTATTGGAACTTAAAGGTTGATCAAAATTTATGTTGGACTATGAAAAGGCACAGCAAGTAAAGAAACACATCTGGACTGCAGGTTGAATCCTATGGTCCACTATCTGTGAGTTAAGCCTGGGCTTTGTCTTATAGTGAGTACTATCACAATTTCTCAGACAAGGAACACAACTGGCTAAGCTACACCAGGACTGGCTTCCCTTGGCCAGGGTATCTTCACTTTGTAAGAGCAATTCCTGGACCTTGCTAGATGCTTGTAAGCTTCCAATCATGACAAAAAAGAAATCTCCGGACTTGCTGGGCACCATATGGAAAACATGGACAGATGGACACAAAGGGTTCAAAACAGGCATAATATGTGTTGCACATGGTCCATGTAAGAAATCTTAGAGGCTGGATATAGTGGGCAGCAAAACTGATGATTAAGATGGAGGACATAAATTGTCATGGATTACAAAGCAAGACTGGGGCGCATCACTGATCCAGTGCTGAGCCAACAGTGGAGTCCCAGACCAACAGCAGTCCATCATGTAAACAATGGTGATGGCTAAGAGTAAGGTTTCTAAGAGACACGAACTGCTGTATAACGATGGCTTGACAGGGTTCTGCATGAACCCCCATGTAAATCACACTTCTGATCTTACTGTACGTGTGCTCATTTCTTGTAAACAAATAAGTCAGGATGCCTACATTTCTGCATAATGAGGTATTTGTTATTCCTTGTGGCTTCACAAAGGCCAGAACGAGAGATCAGAGTTCCACAGGCACCACCATAAACCATTTGGCCATGGACAAAATAGGCCTGGTGATTCTCAAGTCAAAAGAAGATATGTCCTACTCCAGAGACAAGATCATAAATTTGGGGTCATTACTTGGCAAGGAATGCAAAAAGGACTTTTGTTATGCTTCAGATTGAAGGAAACTGGGCAAACATAACTTAAAATCATCCATATACTTGATCTCTTATTTGTTACTTTACAACCATTTCCTCAACTCTTCCCATAAGTCTTTTTGTTTGTTTTATTTTTATTCCCACTTAACTCATCAGTTTTAATAAATATATATTCACGCACATCAACCTCACCGCTATCTTGCATTCGGGTTGTAAAGGATTGTGTTTTCAGAGGGCTGGTGTGATGATTACCAATAGATCACACTTCAGAAACACATTCTAAAAGGTTGCTGAGAGATTATGTAAATCAGTTCCATGGCATGTTCTGTGAAGTAGAGGAAAGGCGGCTGGAGTAGTTCTGTTGTACAGTGTTTTCAAATCCCATGAGCTCACTGATTTCTTTGGTCATTTTATGGAAGAGTATAAACACAGACACAATTTATAGTAACGGATGGATTAACACATAGTAGACAGATAACAGATAGTAACGGATGGATACCTGTGCTCAAAGTTGTATATTATATTGACAATCTAAAATAACATGTTATTCTAGTCTTGAACAGACAACAGTATAAAGGGGACTCGAATTCTGGGAAACACAAAATGGGTGTTCTTTTAGATTTCTGTATGAATTAGAGCTGAACTTTGGTGAAGGGATAGTTTGTCATTTCTCACATCAATTGTATATAACAAAACCTTACTGTGGTTGCTGCTGATCATAATTTATTGAAGAATTCCTTATCTCCTTACATGATTTATTGCAGAGAGGAAAGAGACCAACTGAGAATCGTAAAATCCACCTCCTGTGACGACAGTTACAAATGCTGCTAAAGAGAAGTCTGGATGATATAAATAGGGCTGTTCCCCTGAAACAGGTCAACACCCTAAAACACAAAACTGGCAGCCAGGACAGTATCTTGACCAGCAGCAGAATGATTCTCCAAACAGTTTCTAAAACCACCTTCATTCTCTCCTTGTGTCTCTCAGTGGTTACCAGCTCAGAACGTACCTGTCCAGGTAAGTCTGTCAGCTAAGGAACTGGCAATTCTTTTTTAAAATTACCTCCTTGTAATTTTAAACATGTTATGTGTTTCTTTCTTGTCATCGTTGCCTAGAATGATTATTTGCAGTGATAACTAACAATGTCAGAAAACGTAAGATCTGGGCTCTACACATCTCTCCGAAGATGTATGTCGTTTGTATAAATGATTTATGTCATTTCACAAAAAGAAAGGAGGGACTTCAATATATCATTTTGTCCTACTTAGTGAAAGCCACAATGAAAAAATTAAAGGTTTTAACTATAGGCAGCATCTTTCTGTGATTTCCTTTGTATTCTTATTTCAATATCATACACTGAATTATCCCCATTTTATTATTTTCTGCCAAATGTGTTCTCACTATCTAATATATTTTCTTATTTATCATGCTAAAATTATTATACAAAAAAGTAGGGAAAAGGGGCTAACTGAATATAGGAAATGTGCTTGGTTTTAATAGTAATGTTGTAATGTGGAAGGTTTACCCATAACCCTTTATAGTTGTCTAGAAAATAATTTAACAGAAACACTAATAACATACATATAACATACATATATATAACATATAACACAGGAAAGAAAAACTAAAAGTGTCGATGAAATTCATAAAGAAAAATAGTAACAATTGGAAATTCTCTTTATTATGCAGTACGTGGAAGACACTGTTACAGCCAGTTAGGTGGGGGATAGTCAAACATCCAGTTAGCTCAACATTTACTGCTCTTAGGACCTTCAAAGCAAGGAAGGAACTGAGATGCTTGCAGAGCAGAAGGGAGTCCAAGAAACACTGATCAAAACAATTATCTGGTTTACCTGGTTAATTAAGTTCTGGGTAAAAGGTTAAGAGCTGAGGAACAGAGGATAAAACAGACAAGTAGGCAGAGAGAGAAAGAAGGATGAGAGAAAAGACAAGAAGACACAAGGGAAGAGGAGAAGAGACAGTGCCAGATGGTAGGTCCTTGTTCAGGTCAGCCTTTAAGACCAGATTCAAGTTAAGTATTTGAAACTTGTTAAGAGAGCTTGTCGCTTGTCAATCTGTCCTTTCAAGGAAACTCTGATTTCCCGTATAAAGAACCCCTCGGTTTAAAGCAGTCTCTTCAGGTTAGTGGATGCATTTTTTAGAACAGGGAGGTGGGTTCCCATTCATTTTAAAGCAAGTGGGATTTATAAAGAGAGATTTAACATTAGATTGTATTCTATTGGGAACAGGCAAAAAGCAGGTATATCTCTATTTTTGGGCTGGTTGGGTATAATATAGGATTCGAATACTTGGCAGTAGTCAGCGGTTTTGCTTGTTGGTTAGGACGCAGGCTTTCGAGATGTTTATAAACAGTCTAATGCATATGTTGTATGTGTATGTTGTGTGTTCTTTAAATATTTGTTTAATCCAGTGAGCCTAATTTACTATATTTTTCTTTTCACTAAAGCTGTGCCAAAGAACAAATACCTCGGGTGGCTCTAAATATGCCAGCTGCTTAGGTATATTCATGGCTTTTAAAGTTTTGGGGTAATGCTTATTTTAAGGAATGATTAATCTGGTCAGCCTAATTATGGTATTGTCTGCTTTCGTAATTCCCTCATTGGAACAAAATTATTCAGTTCCTCGTGGCTTTGAAAACTACAAACATTCTAACAGGATATTAACTGAAATCATACATTTCCATGATTTAGTTTTGTTGCTCTTGATCTTATTGTCAAATTATTAAAATGAGAATGAACTATTTCAAATTTCAAAATAGAGTTTCAAAAACTGTGAGTGTTGGACGATATCTTTACTTAATCATCAGACCACAGTATCTCATACAGTTAATTGAATTCATTGAATTGAAGCATTTCATGAAATGCCCAAAGTAGGAAAAATATTAACGACCTTGTTCAAGTACTAGTAATACATTATTTAACAGTAAATAAAGTAAAGTATTTCCTACCTCAAGCTGTTCTTTCCAGCTCTCTCACTCAGTATTCAAGATGAAGTTGAGCTCTTCTGTGTTACAGAGGTGAAGGTTGTGGGCCTGAATGACAAGGACAGACTGACCATCCTTCAGGGCTGCCCAGGAGACCCAGGGATACCAGGTACTCCTGGAGCTCCAGGCATGAAGGGAGAACAAGGCCTGCCAGGCCCTCAAGGTGAGTTGAAAATGTTTTGACTTCTCCTCCACAATGGCAGCTAAAATGGGCTCAAACATTCAGTCCAACCATCTAATCAGAGGTAACAGCAACATCCAGTCACTGATAATCTTCTTTTCAGCTGTATTTCTGCATTTCAGGCATGAAAGGAGAACCAGGAGTTTTTGGAAAGATTGGTCCAGCTGGAGCTAAAGGTAAAAGAGAGAAAATAAATTCAAATGAGTGATATCCAAGAGAGGAGTCGAGCATTACAATGAAACTCATGGAGGCCAACGTGCACAATTTAAAAGAAGAAACCTTCTCAGCAGAAGCTGTGATGCTGAAACATTTGGCAAGAAAGGAAAAGAAGTAAGATAACAGTTTGGGAATCACTAGCAAAAATGTAATTTACAAAGGTAAATGAGAGATAAAACACCAGGAAGGAGAAGATATTATTTGGTGCTCTATTTCTGATGTGGAGACACTCGAGTCAGAGATGCCAAATAATTAATAGCCCTGAGATTCAAGGATCACAACACTGATGCAGTGATGAGCTAGTTAACAGTTAACAGTGTCTTTTTCATTTTTTAGGACAGAAAGGAGAGCCATCAGTTCAAAGCGGCACAGGTGAGCTGTGTAATCCATTCCTTCTAACAGGACATTTTATATACAAAAATGGGTAATTGTTGAGCAAATCTGTTTACATGGAGACTAGCAACCAAAGCTGAAAGTAAACCAGAAAGCTGCATACCCATTTAAAATAGGAAAATCTGGACAAGGTGAGCCTAGACATTTGCAGATGATCCCAAGACATCTGTCTGGAAAAAGTCAACACATATAAATTGTTTAACTTCAATGTGGAATTTTTTTTTTCCATAGTTATAATGCAGGAAAATGCTATTCAGAAAAAAGGAAATATGCTTGTGAGGTTGCTTCAGTACCTTTTTTAAAATACAAAAATGAATGAATAAATTGGTCTTTATGCAGTTCACCTTTACAGAAACTGAAGATTCCTGCCTTTTAAAAAAGTATAACACCTCACTAGGAAGGAGATGTGTCTGTCTGTTCAGCTGCCAGCGTGACGTTATAATTTTTCCAGGGGCTCGGAACTGTAAGGAGCTGCTGGACCAGGGGAATTACATGAGCGGCTGGTACACAGTGAGGACAGTGGGAGACAAAGACATCAGGGTGTTCTGTGACATGGACACTGACGGGGGCGGCTGGCTTGTGAGTAACACTTTATCTTGACATGAAGTCAGAACAAAAATGTTTTTACCTTCAAAATGTTGTTTTACACTGATACATTGCTGTGTCTGCAGGTATTCCAGAGGAGGACGGATGGGTCAGTAGATTTTTTCAGAGACTGGGCCTCTTACAAGCGAGGGTTTGGTAACCAGCAGTCAGAGTTCTGGCTGGGGAACGACCACATTCATTCACTGACCAGCTCAGGTGAGTCTGCCAGCAGAGGAACTGCATGAGCTGGTACAATTGAGCTGCATAATATTACAAAGAGAAACATTTTGCCAACAAGAAGTGAATCAAAAACACGATTATCCAGTACACTCAACTTTCTGTATTATTTAATATGTTATTTTCTTATTTTAATGAACATCTTTAATGCATTTAAAACCTATAACTACAGGAACTGCAGGATTTGGAACAGCAGACAATTGTACATTTAACGTATACTAGCGACCTTAATTGTCTTTTTAGTAGCAAACATTTCACATACTGTAACAAGAGTAATTGACGTCAAAGAGTAGGAACATATTGCATGAACATCAGAAATACTTATTTGTTTTCTCTCTAGTGAACATTTGGCTACAAAATGTAGCAGCAGTGTGGAACAGTAGTTAAAGGTTCTAGACTCATAAAAGGATGTCTCTGATTTCCGAAGTGAGACATCAAAAGGTGCTTCATTGGGAAGTGTTCCAGTAAAATAATAATAAATAAATGAGTAAAAACTTAAGATATCTGGGGCCTCAGGTTCATATCCTGACCTCAGGTGCTACCTAGGTAGAGTTCGTATGTTCTGCCCGGGTTCAAGTGGGGTTTTGCAGCGTGTCCTGCAATGAACTCCTGCAATGAACACTCCAGAGTGTGCCTTGCCTTGCCCCAGCTGCTGGCTAGGATAAGCTCTGACTCTGTCGCCCCCATAGCCCCGAACTGGATAAAGCTGTTAGAAAAAAAGATGGATGGAAGATTGACATCTACACTACTAATTGACATTTGCCCCCCTCCCCCTCCTTAAATGTACTGAAGACCTTCTTCAAGAATTGTTTGCCCAGGCTAGCCAACAGAGTAAGAAAAATAGCCTTACATCGTCTTAATAAATGACACTGAGTCTTCTGGAACATGCAGTTATAAGTGAATGCAAAAGTGCCAGAATAATAACCAGTCATTCTCCTCCGTTCTCCTTTATAGTGATTTTGAGTGTTTGATTTGTTGGTCTTATTTTAAAGGAAACTTTGAATTAAGGATAGATTTCAAGGACTTCGATAATGTGGACACCTTTGCAAAATACCTGTCCTTTAAGATCATGGGGGAATCTGACAATTATAAGATTCTGCTGGGAAGTTTTGAGTCTGGTAGTGCAGGTAAGTCCCCATCTCTTCAATCTACTCTGTAGAACACCAAGATAACTCATCATTTTGGTTAAATAAATTAACTACCATCAAATGCAGAGAAATGCTCATTGTGGCTCCTTTCCCATGAGTATGATCAGTATTGCAGTCTTGAAAGAACAATGCTTCATACTGCTAAAAACCTCTGATTTTGTTATAAAATAGAGTTTGCAATAATTTTGTTTTTTTACCCTTAGTTAGTCCCAGTCAGTCATGTAGCAGACCACTCTGCATTAATGGCAATGGTCACTCTGATGCACACTAGTTAAGATGCAAGCTCTGTGGTGGCTTTCAGGTGACTTAACAATGATTGGAGGAGAAGCAATGATGTCATAACTTGCAGGATTGCAGGGCCAAGTCAAGAAATGGATTCAAGCCCATCCAACACAGACAGCCATTTGTATGTCCTGCCACTTGGGGAATTTCATTCACATTTGGCTAATGATACAGTCTATGCCCACAACAGTGATATCTGGACATCAGGCAACTTTAGATACAGGTTTTTTTTTATAGAATGAATCTGATTATACAATCAAACGTCAAGGTACACATAGTCAATGTGACTTTTAATTTTCACTTTGCAGTTGACAAAACACTAGCATCAGTATTTTAACATCAAATACAAGCAGGTATCTCTTAGGCCTGAGTGTCTGTCTAAGCTACTGAGTTTCACAACTGGAATTTCAAAAGCGGAGTAAAATCAGTGAAACAAATAAAAAGATATACAGCGTACTGTATATTTTGTCAGTACAGTCACAAAATGTTATACAGCCCCCACACCCTTTAAAGTGGCTTGCCTATGATAAAGCAAAAATATTTTGGTGCAACTATGATGATGGTTTAGAGGAAGAGAACTTCATCTTGTAGAGTTCAGGGAGCAAAAGGATACGTCCTCTGTGACTTGATCAAAATTTCCTCATTTTCTGTCCTCAGGCGATTCCTTTACATCCCATAACAACCTGCCCTTTTCTACCAAAGACCGTGACAATGATAGCTGTGACTGCACCTGCAGCAGCATGTACAAGGGAGGCTGGTGGTATGGAAAGTGCCACAGTTCCAACCTTAACGGTCTCTATCTGGGAGGAAGCCATGAAAGCTTCGCTAATGGAGTCAACTGGGAAGCTGGCAAAGGCTACAATTATTCCTATAAGTACTGTAGTATGAAAATAAGACCTCATTGAGAGCTCACCTCCGCTTTCTAAGTAGATCCCTCATCATCACATATCACCAGACAACACACACTGCATTTGAGACAGATTTCTTTTTTGCTTTGATGGAAGCTACTAGAATACTGGGGGTTTGTAAAGATTTATTGCATATACTTAGTATCTATTTATGGACAACACAATTAACAATTAGAAAAGTTGTTTTTAATGTGTTGGGCTAAGCAATGTATGTTGACTGCCACTTTGTCGTCTATTTTTGGACCCAATTATGCTGTGGACAATTTACAATTTTAAATCATTATTATGGTGACCTAAAGTGCAAAAGTGATCTGGAAAAAAATAATTAATTTTCAGTAAAATATAAAAGTGACTGAAATACAATCTAAATATTTATTGGATTGGCTTCATGCTGTGGAACAGGTTGGAACATAGATTCTTTTCACCTCAGTTCTTTAGCATATGTCCAATAAACAAACCATCAGGTTTCGTGGCTTCCTGTTATTATATGCTTTATCCCCCTAATAATTTCCATTGGGGAAAATGGGTGCAACAATCATATTTATATCTCCTTTAAAGCTTGTGATATACTACGAAGCAATTCACAGAGAACTGATAACCTTTCACTAATACTAAAAACTGTGTTTTTTTTAAATGTCAGGTTTTTCTCATGTAGATGCTTTATCATTTTTCTCATAAATAAATGCTTTGTCAATGCATATTGGAGTCTGTTGGTCCCATTCTTAAGTGTGGTCATGGCCTGATCACATTTCTGATGGCTCTGATTTTTCCTCTGACGGCCATGATCACACTGATCTCTCCGTCTGCGTTCTCAAAGTAGGGTTTCTTAACTCCTATAGCAGGAAGACATCAGAAACTAAAATTATCCTGAAACTTGCTTCATACCTTCCCCCTTCTCTGAACGACAGACTTGTTATCTTCAAATTCTCTCTATTCATTTGTAGGTTTCGTTTCCCACCTCTCACCTCTCTAGACCTCACACCACTTGATTGGCCACTCTGTCTCCAGGCTTTTGTTTTCCCATGCTACATTATCTTTGCTGACTGCCCTATCTTTCACCCGAAAAAGGCTCCACAGCCAAAATGTTATGTTTTGTTTCTTCTCTTTTCAGCAAGGAACAAGCCTATTACTTGTTCAAATACCCAGCGTGTATATGGAATGTCTTTGTAACTATAGCACCTGAAAAAACCTATTTGAACATAGAGGAACGTGCAAACTCCATACATAAGGTCACAGAATATCACTCTGGGCTCTGGGCTGTGTGTTAACAATGCCAACGTCCATATACCTATGTCACCCTAATCTTAAATGCATTTTCAAAAATCAACAGGCAAATGATACAAAGCATCTAGCAATATATTAATAATATGTTACTTTTCATGCTTTTGGGAGCAGCCTTTAATTCACTGTAAAACTCAGCAATAAATTTAGTCTCCTCCTGTATATTAAGTTTCCCTAAAGTTTACTGGGACTCTTTTTCAAATAATGCTCTTCAACAGGATTAAGCCTTTCCCCACCCATCTATATTAATGGAACATTCCCAGAATGCACAGAAGAACAACAGATTCTTGAAAGTCTGTATGTCTCTCATAGGTTTATTTCTTGACAAGAAAAAAGTACACACCTTGACACTGGAAAATGCAACAAAATATGAGTTTACTGCTATAAATGTGCAGGGCACTTTTTCTTTTTGATCTACTGAAAAATGCAGAACACTAAAGATTATTTATCAGCCACCTTTTATATGTCCAAACAATGTCAGAAGTACAGAGGTAAAGTGTGACTGAACGCTGATTGTCAGATCAGTGTATGATCCAACACTGTTTCTGGTTTGTGACATCTTTAGTATAGACTGACAAACATCTCTGGCAGCTTGTTGCCGTTTGGTATTATGTTACTCAGTCCTTCCAAAATCAAAACCAGGATGAAACAGAACTTTCCATCTGACTCCCTCTGGAATCAGCATGTTGTGTCTAACAAATAGGCCTGATATACCTTTGTCTAATATTACAGCTCACAGTCTTGAAAAGTGAATCAGAAATAGATTGTTATTTTCACCTTCGCTCACCACACAAAATTAATCAAAAGTATACATAACAGGTCTTATTCAATGTGTGAGCCTGTTATAGTGATATACTGTAGCACCCAAAAATACCCAAGAGAGGTCAACAGGGGGCTCAAATTTTGGTGTACTGCAATACACAAATACTTGGAAATTCATAGCATAACTAGGGTTTGAGTGTGTGCCAGACAGACAGAGCTCTCAGTGAAACACTACACATGGAACAGTTTTAAATGAATCCTTGGAATACAGCACAACACATACTTACATACTCTCAAAAAAAAAAGCACAATGAAAATGTCTGTATTTTATCTATTGCAAGTATTTGACAACTCCTTGACAACAATCACTTTCCCCACTGTCCAGCTCAGCGGGGCCTTATTTTCATATCACAGTACTTGTAGGAATAGTTATAGCCTTTTCCTGAATACCAGTTGATCCCATCAGCAAAGCTTTTATGGTCTCCTCCCAGATAGAGTCCATTAAGGTTGGACGTATGGCACTTTCCATACCACCAGCTCCCTTTGTACAAATTGGTGCAGACACGATCATCTATATCATTGTCATGATCTTTGGTAGAAAACAGCAGGTTATTATGACCTGATAGGGAATCACCTAAAGACAGATAAGGAAAGAATTGTTAGAAGGTAGTCTTTTATGTACTAGAACACAATAGTACTGGGAAACAATAGCTTTGACAATAAAGTTAGAAAATTCACTTCCAAAAAGCCTGACACTGCAAAATAAGACGATCAAATCACACCCTGGATAAAACAATTTTTGCTCCTGAAGCCCATTCTGAAATTAAAGGCCAAAAGGGGGCCTAGCATCCTGGATTGTACACCAGTCCACATAGGACACACCCACCCATACTTTAGACACCACGTTAGACACCAGTTGAAATACCCAGCATGGCTGTGCAAGGTGGGTAGAAACCAGACCGCCCAGAGAAATCCTATATACACAAGAAGAGAACATGCAAACTGCTTGAGTTAAATACTTTAAAGTGCATAATGTAAATTCCCGATAGCTTTCTACACAGAAAAGTTAAAAATATCCGAAATCTTTTCTTCATCTTCTGAAACTCTGCTGGAGCACGGATCTTAGTGGATCTATGTCAATAGAATGGAAATCACAGTGGCACAGTGGAGGACCATAAAAAATACTGTACTTTGTAATCTGTTCTGTCTGTAACGGGCTTCAGCTGTACTTCAGTTATCTACAGTAGTGACTTGAGGGAAAAGAAAGGAAACTCCACCTGCACTACCGGCCTCAAATCTTCCCACAAGGAGTTTGTACTTCTCTGATTCTCCTAGAATCTTGAAGGATTCATATTTTGCAAAAGTGGAAACATTGTCAAAATCCCTGAAGTCAATTCTTAATTCATAAATTCCTACAAAACAAAAGAGAACTGGTCACATTCTTTTCCATTCGAAATACATTGACCTCAATTTAAATTTGTTCGAGAGACTCGGTACAGAAAGTACACATGGTGCAGTTTGAAATGAGTTAGCCTCTTTAAACAACTGTCTTATAAAACCTGAGCATTGTGGAGCAATGATTCTGGTGTGTGTGTAAAAGGAGAGAGAGAGAACACGTAGGAAAAAAGACAATGACTGCACAGGGCACTGACACTGCCATTGATCACAAAGGGCACACAAGACAGTGTGAACACAAATGGTGGGTCACACTGGGGTAAGAGCTTCTGGTGTCCACTGTTGTATATCCTGGGCATGGATCTCCCATGGCCATAATTGTACATGTATTATGTGTTTCATTGCTCCAAAGTTCTCAGTTTTCAGAACACAAAGGTCAACTTACTTTTACTTTAAAAGCATCAGGTATTTTCACAATCCTTACAAGCAGGAATGAAAATAAATCATGTATTGATCTCTCACAATAAGGGCACTATTCGACTGAGATTCTCAAGGCAGGTGTTTGCATTTATTTACTTACAAATGCACCATGGAAGGCACTTTTTTCCCAAGCAACCTGGGATATTAAAACTGCCCATATTTAAAATTTTACTACTTCAGTTTCTTTATCTATAATTATCATTTGTAAAAAACCTAAAGACTTTTTAAGTGCAGTTACAAAGGAGAAACACATTGAAACACATGGAAAAAATGTCTTTGTTTAGTTTTTCTTAGTACATCTTTGACTTATTAAATAATCTTATTTGCTTCCTGCTGTTCCTGTGCTGACACAGCCCTGACTCACCTGAGCTGGTCAGTGAATGAATGTGGTCGTTCCCCAGCCAGAACTCTGACTGCTGGTTACCAAACCCTCGCTTGTAAGAGGCCCAGTCTCTGAAAAAATCTACTGACCCATCCGTCCTCCTCTGGAATACCTGCAGACACAGCAATGTATCAGTGTAAAACAACATTTTGAAGGTAAAAACATTTTTGTTCTGCTTTCATGTTAAGATAACGTGTTACTCACAAGCCAGCCGCCCCCGTCTGTTTCCATGTCACAGAACACCCTGATGTCTTTGTCTCCCTCTGTCCTCACTGTGTACCAGCCGCTGATGTAGTTCCCCTGGTCCAGCAGCTCCTTACAGTTCCGAGCCCCTGGAAGAACGATGGCATCACACAGGCAGCTGAACAGACACATGCCTCCCTTTACAATACACAGTGTGAACTGTAGAAACACTGTGATCAGAGCACTATCATGAGCAAACCAAATGTCTGACACCTCTCACCCTCAGATTATTTGATTATTTTTGACACGGAACAATCCTACCAAATTTAAATGGATTTCTGATTTTTAATCATCGTTTTTTGTAATGATGTACAGACGTCTGGTTTGACTGTGGCCTTATACTACAGATGGGTATTTTTTAATTTTAGTTTGGTTAATTTCCAGCTCACATGTACCTGTGTCTCTTTGATTCCCTGGATCTCCTTTCTGTCCTGAAAAAAAGAAATAAATGGCAAGATATTAACTCATGTGTCAGGATAATTAGCGCCACCCAGTTGTGATCCTTGAGACTTAGGGCTATAAACAACCTTGTCACCTCCACAGAACTTCCTCAAGAGCAATGTATGTGGATTATAATGGATTCTTGAATTTTCTGCTAGAACTTTTGTTTGCAGATTGACGTTTTAGAGAAATCAGAAAAAAACTGTAAAACACTTTATATACATCCTTGACCTTTAGCAGGAAATGTGGACTTAGAGATAGAAGAAGCTTTTCCAATTTCTTACAGAGGAAAGGCTCAAGTGCGATGGCACTTGCGCAATGGTTAGCAATGTTGTCTCACAGAGCTGAGGTTCTAGGTTAAATTCCCGAGCTGTTATCTGCATGGAGTTTATCTGTTATAGCCACATTCACATGGGCGTCCTCAGGGTGCTCTGATCTCCTCCCACAGTCCAAAGACATACTGGGAGGTTAATTGGGAAAACTGCCCTGGTGTGAGTGTGCATGCCTGTGTCTGTCTGCCCTGTGATGGACTACAGTCCTGTCCACTTTGAATCCTGCCTCGAGCCCGTGCCTTGCCAGGACAAGCTGTGGCTCCTCTGCGGCTCTGAATTGGATGAAACATTTAGAAAATGGATGCATGAAAGACTCAACACATGAAGAAAACACAGCCTGATTCAATATTTATTATTACATGCTGGTAAATTACGTATAGAAACTTGAGGCATAACACTTGTGGTGTTTCTGGAAATTAAGTGTTCAATATTAGACAAGCTTCCTCTAGGTTTTGGGCTTTATGGCTGTATTAGGATGTATTACTTTATAAGTTTATTCTATCTGTTATTTTACTTAAAGTTGTGTTTCAAAACATACAGTGGTTATTTCTTTAATGGAATAAGCTGCAATATGATCTTTTTGCCAACACATTTTCAATTGTACTGATTGAATAATCATCTGTCCCGCTTCTTCACTAAATATAAACAAAAAATGAAAACAAAAATCAGTCCCTATTTACCTTTGGCTCCAGCAGGACCTATCTTCCCAAAAGCTCCTTCTATTCCTTTTAAACCTAAAATACAGAAATCCAGCTGAGAAGAAAAGGCCAGTCATTACCAACCGAAGAAATTGTTACAAGTGTCAAACTGGCTAGAGTTAACCACTCGAATGGTAGTTTTCCAGTTGAAGTTCATGCTGGCCTGGGCTGCCAATACATCTTGTTTTAGTTCGAAGCCCAGTTTTACAGAATTAACAAATGTATGAACACACTGGGCCTTAAACTGATGATAATGTTAATAGCCAACTCTATAATACAGTGCTGCAAGCAGGAACTGATTCTAAGTTCTAATTTTCTGCATGATATTTGTAGAGCAAAGGAAAAGACTGTTTCTGAAAGTCTTGTCAATCTACTTTGAATAATGTGAAGATATGCTATTTGAGTTATAAAACAATCAAAAACAAATAATGAGCTAATAAAAAACACTACTTGTAAGTAATGACTAACAGTCTCTAAATAATACTGTTTTCCTTTCATGTTGTTGGCCATGGCCTGACAAATTTATGTTTTGTCACCCCAAACCTTAACTACATTAAGAGCCATAACTTGTAAGCTCAGCTCCAAGCTCAGCTTGTCAATAGAACTAAAGCTTGTAAACCTTCCCCTGATGACCTTTAGCAAATGCAGCATTTGAACTACAGCTGTTAAACTATTTTGTTAAGCTAAAACTTGCACAAAACACAAAAATGAAGACAGTTGTGGTCCTCATTTACTCCCGCAGAGGAGAAGCTGGATCATACCTTGAGGGCCTGGCAGGCCTTGTTCTCCCTTCATGCCTGGAGCTCCAGGAGTACCTGGTATCCCTGGGTGTCCTGGGCAGCCCTGAAGGATGGTCAGTCTGTCCTTGTCATTCAGGCCCACAACCTTCACCTCTGTGACACAGAAGAGCACATCAACAGGAAAACTGAGCTGTAAGTGATGCGGGAGGGCAGTTCAGAAGGGGATTACTCTAGCCTCTTCACCTTTGTACTCCTTGGCATGCAAGATAAACCTGTTTAGTTGATTTAGAATGTATACTAGACACAGAACTGCATTAAGCCTAACTGGACTTCATTCGTTAAGTGTCAGCACTTACCTGGACAGGTGCTTTCTGCGAAGGCAACCACAGTGAGCCACAAGAAGAGAACAAGGGTGGTTTCAGTTACCTTCTGGAAATTCATTCTGTTGCTGATCAAATATGCTGCCCTTTCAATTCAAGGGATGTTTTCTCCAAGGGGAAAAGCTGTATTTATACAGGGCAGACTGCATAGTGGAAGACGGGTGCAGTGTAACCCCTGCTCTTCCTGTATCCTGCTCTGGGATAAACACATCAGTGAAGGAAGTACAATAACAATAACTCTGTTTAAGGGTTGGGTAATAGTAAGATTACAAAAAATTGCAAACCTTTCTAAATACTTTTGAGCAGTTTTTTTTTAAGTTAAAGAGAAAGTTTGGGTTGGATTTGCTTTATCTCCATTATCAATTTTCAGCTTTTTTAAATTCTATTTAAAAAAGACAGTTGAACATTTGGAGGACAATGGGATTAGAATAGATTAAAAAAATCAATTATGCATCAACTATCTGATTGTGTTACAGTGTGGATTTTGTGTTGTCCACAAAACATTCATTTACTACAGAAATACATCAAATCAGGCAGATTTTACATATTGAGTGGACACTATCTTTCCTCTCCACAAAGTGTTACACAAAGGAAATTTTAAAACACAAACGCTCTGATATGCAGCAAGTCTAAAATTCCGAACAAGAGAAAATGTGCCACAATTCTACACCAACCTATTCAGCATCAACAGATAATGATGTTCCAAAACTGCTAATGCTGCACTTGAAAGATTTCAAATAGAGCACCACATTTAATTGGCAGTCTAAAAGATAAAAAGGTACACTAATCACACACAAGTTGAAAAAAAGGTTCCTTTTCAGTTTGAAATAATGGACACTTTCAAATGGATTTGAAGTAATTATGAAAATAAGTGAAAGATGAACTTTATCGAATAGGCTACTTCATGTCTTCAATGCAACAGAGACCCTAGAATTGAAAAGGAAATTAGGAATGGTGTTTAGGAATGGGAATAAGAAAACCATCTTTGCACATGAATGCTTAAGTTGATTTCTTGGGATTTTTCAAGAAACGGCTGGATAAGATCCTGCATTCACTGAATATCCAACCGAGTGCCCACAATCTGGTTGAAAGGGACTCCTCTCTCCTGTAACCTTTCTTATGGTTTCATTTTTACCCCTTGGTAGAACGGAACAGAATAAGATCTAAATCTGTTACAGCAGGATTTTACCATTGAGTTCTTGACCACTTCGTAACAACTGTTTAAATGTTTTCTTAAAAAAAAATCAGAAATACACAATTTCTAAAAACATTTATTGTGAGATTCAAAACATTTCAGGAAGGAAAAAAAATTAAAAAATATGACCTAACCTAAAATCCATTTTGGATAGGTTGGCATTTTACAAGTACTCCTTTTAGAGTACAGTATGTGCTCTCAGTTGCTTTACTTTATTATACTGTACATCCTGTTTTTTCACAAATTAGCCATTTGTTTTGAGTTCAGGATATACACATTAATGGCTCTGATGAAAGCCAGCCTGCTCTACTAACCATTTTGTTAACTTCAGTATCCTTTGTGTCCCTGTGGCCTTGGCATTGGTGTGCTTCCAAAACATTTTTAAATTTATAACTGTCCCAAGACAAGCATTTGTATGACCGAGTTCCCGCTTTCCTAAAGAGAATTGCTTCTCTATTATATGTTCATCACACTGTTCACTTCTCTACTTAGTCACAGTTCCTATTCTTTGGGAGACTTGTTACTCACTTATATTTTTAAATATGGAGGTCACAGAACATATAATACAAGAACAGAACAAAGAGAAATGGGACACATCCTACAAATGAAAAACAGCTAAAAATGCTCAATTATTTTATTATAAAATGAAGTTTTCACAAAAGACAAAAGGAGTAAAACCACAGACCACATATCAAGGAAATGTAAAGGAAGTTCAACTATCATTCCTCAACTCTGACTGTGGCATATACCAATTCACAAGCTGCTTTGGTGCTCTGCATTGTGTGAGCGACAGCTTACAAAAATAGCTACATAGTTGTATAATTTTTACCAAAACAAATTGGGGAAAAAAAAAAAACAGTGCATAGAAAAATATGGAACCTGCTCAAAAATATCGAGTTTATTTTACTTTACAAAAGTGTAATTTTACCTCTTTTCTTCAAGATATAAGAAATCCATACTGCTTTTTACATGGTGCTTTTGGAATACAAAAGCTTGACTTTTGATTTAAAACTTTAAGAACTTACCATACTTTTTTTCTGCCACGTTTTAACTGACAAAAAAAAAATCAATCTTCACCGGTTTTAAGCTCTTAGTGTTCAAGCCTTTTGGAAGCTTATTATTTTAAGGCTTCCATTATTTCTGAACAAAATTTCCCAAAAGTGTAATATTAGTGTTCAATATTTCTCTAGATTCTGAGTGCAGGTCTTCAGTAAGTACATTACCGAAACATTCTTACTGCATCGATGAAGGTGCTTGAATAGGCTCAAACCATACAGTATTTAATTTCATCAGACCCGTTAAGTTCATGCTTCACTTGAAAGCTAATTTCTTCACTGAAATAATTACAATTTTCTCTTCCTCTGCTGGGCTAGAGGACAACTGATGCAATGAATCTCCTCATAAACCACAGTTCACATTTAAATTGAGCACAGGGCTTTCACAAAGTTGCAGTTTAAGGGAGGAGAACATCTCACAAAGATCTATTCGATAACAGTGCATGTGTATGGTAAAAAAAAAAAAAAAGTCCCCCCAAATACTCCATAACAATGAATTCAGTCGAGTTCAGTGTAGGCGTCACTACCCTGAAGATGACCCATGCTTAGTGATGTCACCGCTGACGACCCCGTCACCTAAGCTGTGACCCACATTGTCACTGCTTGATGAATGAGACAACTGCGTTTCCTAAGGATATATTTGAGATCTCTGCAAGGTGGGTGCTTCAGAACCTCTCCTTGTCAGGCTTCAGATTGCTTGTTTTGCAGAGAAGTTGACCTTGTTGCTAAAAAAATTTTAAAGTCCTTATTCTATGAACTTATTCACCTACCCTTGGAATTTTATTCTGCCGCTACTTTGAAAAATCACCAGAGTTTTGTTTCGATTTTGAACAGTCACTGCACACATGATTTCCTGCCTAGTCCTAAAATGATTCTTTAAGGAATATCACAGTCCATTACACAATAGGAAAAGATTCACAGCACACCCCACACCAAATAGTGCAGAAAGGTTTCAAATGCTTCTCAAACATTAACACTTGTTACTTGTATTCTTTCAAGTCCCCAGTCCTGGTTGAGGCCCCAACCCCCACCCCATGCTCACTTCTGCCTTCACTGGCTCCTCGGGGACACCACTGACTTGAAGAGGAAGAGCTCCGTTCGGGCAGGAGCAAGGAGCCGAGAGGGGGGCGGGGTCAACCGGCCGTTGCCATGGGAAGCGGCGCCGCCCTCTTGTACAGCTGCAGCACCTGCAGGGAGTCCAGCAGCTTCCACACCTGGGCCTCCAGCTGCATGTCATGGTTGGCGTAGAACACCAGTGGCTTCTTCACCACGTCAAAGTAATGGTCCGAGAAATCCACGTAATTTTCAGTGATGAAGCCGTATGCGGACACCTAAGGACAAACAAAATTCAGCAGTGGGCTGAAACTGGCCACTTAATTACCAGCAGACCTTGCTGACAATCAAGGGAGACCAAACTGCCTCATAGGCTGCCTAAGGTAATAAGCATAGGTGTCCATCTTATTTGCAGTTTTCATTTACTTTCAGCTTTATAACAGAAGGACAAGCATAAAAGAAAATACTTAAATTTTCAAAAGTTAGTTTACCCCTTGCAAAGATCTTGAATTGCCAGGACATTGGTATCGGCACTGGCAACACTGTATTGGCATATGTCGACAGCCACAAAAAAAGACCTGGGTTTCAAATGTGATGTTTATATCCTCTGTTATGTCTGGAGCTCAACCCTAAATAACTCTTGAGCTATTGAGTGGATTATCAGTTACTGAAAAACATCAATGACAGCGAGTCACTCTGGTATTTGTCCTTATTATACTAGTAAGTTCACAGGTGTTACTTGCATAACAGCACTCATTTGAAAAGTGCACCAAATTGATGCTTAGTAAAGTGATGTGAGCCAGTACTAAAAACTCCTAGAAAATGTTAAAAGCAGGTAAACAGCGCTGTTGGCTTACTCTGGGAGAGCAATATGCACATTTAGTTGTAATTTGTTTTCTTGCCAGCAGATGAAGCTATTTCTCTATTTCCTTAACCATGCTTAATCGTGGCCTTAAGCATAACTACAGAAATGATTTCTCCATGATGATTCTGAGAACATGCAAAGGAAAAACTCCCTGAAGAATTTTGGTGTCCAGCCTGTGTAACACTAGTCTGTACTCCCTTACGCGTGGACTGCATAGACTTCAGAGTACAACCAATTGAACTGTGACACCTTGCACAACTCTGCTTATGCTACACAACTCCCTTCACTTTTGATCACTGGCCAAATATCTTCCTTCCAATTATTTTAATTAGCAATGCAAATTAAATTTATTTAGCAATGCAAAAAACAAAGCACAGGTAAGGTATTTGTTACTAGACGGACAAGGCTGAATTACCTGAGAAGGGCACTAAATAAAAATCATATGTAGAGAACATTCCCTCACCTGGTCACAGCTATGTAGTGCAGTCAGAAGCATCAGGGCCCCAGTGCTGGGCATATAGAGGTGACTGTACGTCATCTTCAACAGACGTGATTTCAGGAACCTGCATAAACACATGTGTGTAATGGAATTACCAGAAATGTTATGGACTCTGTTTCTCAACTTTTTACCTTAACATTTTAAACCCATTTTAAATCAAATTGTAAAGACAGGATACATGTGAATGTTTGGAAATACAGGAAACTAATTGGGTACAGCCAACTGAGGAACTTGAGAGTAACTTCATTTAAGATGATCTTTTGATTTTGAAACCATGTATTTTTCTAACAGTTTCTTACAGTAGCCGACATTTCATGTTATTAATCTACCGACTTCACGACTCCACTCTATGACCTAAATTTATCGGACTAGAATATACAAAATTCATACAATGCCATATGCCACAGTGTTTTTGTTGAAATGTAGAACAAGATAGCCAGCCATGTTGTTCAAGTTGATACCCTGGCTTTTTTCCCCGAGAAACCGCAGGATGAGATTCTGGGATCAAACTAACTTAACTCCCAAACAGGCTGGATGAGAGAATGGCCTTGTCTCCTTTGTGACCATTCTTCTGTTCATAATGTTAGCATATGCTATTGAATAACCAATGCAGACAAAGTAAATTAAAAATAAAAATGTGAAAACACACCAAATGCCGAAACAGTGCTACACAAAACACCATAGAGGCTGAAAAGCAAAACCTTATCAATCCTTCCTAGCAGTAGGCTTTGTCAATTATCTATTGCGTTGAGTGAAGAGGTCATGTTTTGTCAAGGATCATAGCATGCTACTAATTGTGGAGAAAGCCTAGTTGTAGGAATGTCTAGAGAAAAAGAAATCAAGAAAAGCTGCCAAAAGAAACACTGGGAACCATTTTGGTGTATGTGTTGTAAGAGTGGGCTCCAGCTGAATATCACAGTAAAGCATGAAAAATAGACCATGGTTAACATTACTGGCCTGCCTTGGTGTATTCTGGAGTACTGTGTATTACAAGTCTGACATTTCTATTTCATTCACCAGGTGGAGTTAAATCATTAATTAGGAAAAAATAATTATGCATCGATTTTCCCAGGTTCATATAAGCTTTCAGGATATATCAATCAAAAAAAAAGAAGCAAAAACAATTTGTCTTGAAAAAAATTCTTAATTTTATTAGGAGCAAAAATGGAAAAAAAGCAGATCTGATTAATCTTTCATCTAAACACTTAATTTCCCCCTGAAAGGCCTTGCTTATCAATACGGAGCCTCCCAGCTCCTAGTTCCCTAGCTCTAAGCTGCTCTTCAATGCCAAGTGTTAATCACCTCAATCACCCAGAATCCTCCACAAAACCAGAGTATCTTCAAATAAGGGCTTTGTGAAGGTCTGCCATTTACCTGTCCTTGATGTATCGGATGAAATCAGGGTGAAGCATCTTGAAATCCTTTGCCAAAGAGTGAGAGCCAAAATACTTAGAGGGCCTGAGGATAGAAAAAAGTCCATCAGATGCATTAGTGCAATGCAATTCCTATTCATGCTGCAAAAATATCATTTCATATCATGACACAAAGTCAGGTACCTCATATTGTCCTTTCCAGAGAATAAAAAATCATTTTCAATTGAACTCTTTATAATGCAATAAGATACCAGAAAATGGCTAAAATATTTATTATATAGGATATTTTACCTTAGGCATATTAATGCACTAAAAGACTGAATATGGTTAGATACTCTACAGGCTAATAGTTCTGTGCTTAAAACATGACATTTCGTCACACTTTCTAGCTTTCTCTAGAAGCAACTTCTCAACTCGGCAAAATCCTTTTGAGTTTGCCAAGAGTCCAAGAACATTTTTTCCCCCCCAAATGGAAGCCCCACCACTGCTCTCCCCAAACTCACAGGTCACCCCTGTCATGTCCCCAGGGAACCTGCAGACTTCGGATCGCTGAGCTCAGCATCACATAGTCGCGGACGTCTGAAGGGATGAAGATGTACTGAATGTCCTGCAGGACACACAACAGTGGGAGGAGGGCCTCAGGTGTTCTGGAGCAAACTGACAGGCCTCTACCTCCGAATGGCACATATACGCCCGCGGGGGAGCCAGAGGCTATCTTGGTAAACAATGGACACAAGGCTGGGTACACATGAGCGGGACGCACACACACACACCCAGACCCACTTTTCCAGAAGCCAATTAATCCACTAGTATGTCTTGGAGGAGGAAACCAGAGAACCTAGTGAAAACCCACACAAACACAAGGAGAGCCTACAAAATGCCATGCAGACAGCACACCAGGTATGAAATTGAACCCAGGGCCCCAGCGCAGCAATGTACCATCATGCAGCCTTATACCAAATCACCTAGAGCTAAATAGTGTGTTTACTAATGCACTGCCTCCCTGAAAATACCTCCAAAATAGTATAAGCCATGAGACCTCCTTTAATAAAGCTTAAATGGTAACAGATTTTTCAGCATGCTGCATAAATGCAAAAACTCTGCAGAAATAGTAATAAAAGAGAATTAATAATTTATAAAGGATGGTTACCACGTGCTTTAGAAATGACTTGACAACGCAATGTTCACGCATCTGCAGATTTACTAAGAACTTCTTACCTGCTCTTGAGGAACCTTGTCAAAGCCAAAGGCCCTGTATGCAATCAGAGAGTTCTTCATGGTGTTGGTAGTGAAGCCATAGAAGGAGGTTTTAGTGCCAACATCTTCTTCAAACCCCTTTGTTATGGCCCCATTTATTCTAAACATGCACAAACAATTGTTTGGAAGGAACACAAAACAGGCTTTAGAAGGACTCAGATGCTGTTATCTGGTTGTTCAAATCACTTTATCACCACTGCACAAGTTCCTAGCACATGTAGATACTGTAGATGTTATAGATGCCATGGCACGTTAGAAATGCTGCTATACATCTCAAATGCTTTTATATTTTACTGAACATTTGCAAACCACAACATATGCCATAAAGGTGCTTTAAAGAGAAAACAATGGGTTTTTAAAAATTAACAACTGAAAAGAAATGAAAAAGAGGAAGAGGGGGAAAAACAGCATTCTCATAAAAACATTGCTTTAACTTTACTCGGCACTTGCAGGATAAACAGAAATTCTACATTTAAGTACTATCTGTTCTCCACTTCTCTGTATTTTTTATTTCAGGTTCCCTCATTTGAAGTTTCCTTCTTTCCAGATCAGTGCTATTTGTCCATTTAAAGCCAACATATAAAACCTCCTGGTAAACATGCTAGTCAAGTATACAATTATTAAACAGAAATTTCATAGCACGCACCTAAAAACAAAGTCGTGACTGTCAATAGCGTGGCCCTGCCTTGAGCCATTGAGAATACCCCCATTGCCCACCACAGCACAGCGGACACAGCCCCCCTGCGGGCGCACTGGGAAGACATCGCGGTTTGCCTCTTCACCGAGGAGGGCCAGGGTTGAGTTCACCACTGGAACAAGGACAAACCCCAGACAGTGGAGAAAGGATTTCAGAGAAAACAGAAGAGAGTCATCCAATAGGTTTCCTAACTTTCCTGATGAAATAGACTTGTGCAACGAGTTCTGGGGCTGAAATCTCCACATTAGACACCGGCCAACTGCCAAAATTGAAACAACACCACTACGTCATAGCACAGCACAGTGCAAACATGCACACGTGTTCCACATCACAATTCCTGTTTAGATACTAATAACCTCATTTGAGTTCCTTACAAATTAAAATGCCACAGAATTATGGAGACCTTTTAAGGATACATTCTGAAAAATATTAGGAAGAGAAGCACTTCAAGGCTGTGAGTGGGCAATTGTCTATGTAGAATAACAGTTACAACCAGCGCATGAACAATCTGCAGATTGCTGTATACGTTGCAAGTGTAGAGCAACAGTCAACTCTGCAGCAGTTTGCTCTCCAACAGGTGTAAAACGCAACCCCAAGCTCAAGGGCTGCATTTACCACTGATCTACACCATGTGGTGCTACACTATGATTAATTAATATGCAAACTATGTTTAATTGAACGTTTGCACCATAGAGATGAAACAAAGGGAGAGATAGGAGCTCTAGGATCAACCAGGTTCTTCATTACTTCCTTGTGCTCGGTCCCTCCCTACGGTAAACTGCTCAGAGAGGTGAAGGGGTGACACGGGAGGAAAGCTGCACTGATACCCTCCACAGGCAGGCCCTTCCAGCCATAGGGAGGCAGGTGCTGCTGCAGTCTCTGCCACTCGGAGGGGCTGAAGGAGCTGGCCCACTGTAGTACCGGCACAGAGAAGTTGAAGAGATTGTGCAGCTTGGGATGCTGGTGAATACTCCATCGCAGGGAGCACGTAACCTGAGACAAAAAGAATAAGCCAAAAAGTCTGATTTGAAGATATCCTTTCCGGTACAGCCATTCATTACTAACAGGTATGATTAATTCAGGATGGCAAGGTGGTGCTGTAGTTAGCACTGCTCTCTCACAGGGCTGGAGCCGTTTCCTGGAGGAGTACTATCTGAGAAGAGTGCGTATGTTCTCCCTGCATTTGTGAGGCTTTCCTCCGGGCCCTCCATTTTCCGACCACAGCTCAAAGATGTGCTGGTGGGTTAATTGGGAAAACTGGCCCTGGTGTGAGTATCCCATCCTGGGTGGATCCAGCCATGCACCTGTTGCTTGCTGGAATAGATTCTGCCCCCCTCATGACCCTGAATTGGATGAAGCGGTTAGAAAATGGATGGAGGATGTTTTAAAAACATTCAAATGATTTCATAAGGTAAACTTGCATATTTAATAATAATAAAATAATAATAATAATAATAGCTTACACTTATTTAGCGCTTTTCTGGACAATCCACTCAAAGCGCTTTACAGGTAATGGGGACTCCCCTCCACCACTACCAATGTGCAGCCCCACCTGGATGATGTGACAGCAGCCATAGCGCGCCAGAACGCTCACCACACATCAGCTATCAGTGGGGAGGAGAGCGGAGTAATGAAGCCAATTCATAGATGGGGAATATTAGGAGGCCATGATCGGTAAGGGCCATTGGGAATTTTTTTGGCCAGGATGCCGGGGTTATACCCCTACTCTTTTCGAGAAATGCCCTTGGATTTTTAATGACCACAGAGAGTCAAGACCTCGGTTTTACGTCTCATCCGAAGAACGGCACCTATTTGACAGTATAGTGTCCTCGTCACTATACTGGGGCATTGGGACCCACATGGACCGCAGGGTGAGCGCCCCCTGCTGGCCCCACTAACACCTCTACCAGAAGCAACCTTAGTTTTTCCCAGGAGGTCTCCCATCCAGGTACAGACCAGGCTCACACCTGCTTAGCTTCAGTGGGTTGCCAGTTGTGAGTTGTAGAGTAATATGGCTGCTGTTAAACAACTTTAACAGAAAACAAATTAACGTTCTTTTCAAATATTTGACTTGCACTGTTTGATTGCTGGCCTGAGGGCAAAGCAGGTACCTCCATCGGTTTTTGTCATGCTATATAATTCGATTCTTCCGGGCAGACAGAGCAAACCCAGAATCTACCTGATCAGTCATGCTAGTTTCAGCACTTAAACTGGGGGTAAACAAGATGGGGGGAGGAGGGGGGAGAATCTACTGTAGATTGCTCCTCTTGTTAAAAGCAAGGCCATGTTTAGATTTTCCAAATATCTTCAAATGGGGATAATGCTGTAGTGGATTCACCAACCCCCCCCAAGACCACCACTGATGATTTTGCTATAGCCCCGATACCAATCCTTAACTTATTTTTTTCCCCCAACCCCAATACCTGGCATGCTGTAGTGGTTTAATATCCTGTTTTGAAGCAACTGAAATGAAACCTTCTCAACCCTTTTCAGTTAATTTCAAGACATTACAATGTCATCTGGCCCTGTAAAGAATTAGTTTTAAAATCTCAGATAATTTTTTGTCATGTCCACCTGATTTGGAACAAGCAGTAGTGCCTGTTTGTCCGCTATGGCACACAGTAATGAACCCTTTGACCACACACAGGGGAACAGAGCATGGGCGATTTTTTGCCTCACCGACCCACAGTCTTTTAATCATGGGAAAGAAAGCCTCGTACTGGAAGCTGACGGCAGACCAGAGAAGAGATGTGCACAAGTCCACAAGGGTCGCCATGCTATAGAGATAACTAATCCCACTTTTTCGCCAGTGGTGCTTTGATAATGGCACGCCAACACTCGCAGAATTATGGTCATGGTCAGCTAGTGACATACTGTAACTCAAACCCGTGACCACAGAGTGCCATTATGGGATAAACCCTCCATTCAATTCTTCTGGCAAAATCCTTCTAGTTTAGTCACTAGCAAAGTTACTTAAGTAATCAAATTAAAATCACATTGTTTTATTTAACATGAATTCAATGAATGATACACTGCATCAGTAACGGATGCCAGAGAAACAAATGTGGTACTTGAGGTGATAAATTAGGTTGTGCACTGCAGTTAAGTGGGTAATGAAATTAAGTGTTCAAATACTGTAACTTGAGACTACACATCAGTCTGCAAGAATCATGAAACCTTACCTCTTTTTCCTGTCTAGTCTTGGTCTCTTCCTCTTCCTGAAGAACAAAGTTTCTGTGCGTTATTGTCCTAGAAAAGATAAATATTTATGTTTATCACTTCAAAAAAATAAACCCTCACTCATAACTTTCTGCAGGAACAATTTTTAAATGTTGATCATCAATACAAAAAAGGATCTCCAGGAGATGAAAAGGATGAAAGACACTTGTTTACCCAAGTGTATGGAAAAAGCTGTTCAAACATTTAAAGAATGGAGACCATAGAAAGGTGATAACTAACTGAACTGTGGATGAGATATCATTCAAAGACATAAAAGCAAACTGATGGGAGAATTTTTTTTTTTCCTAGGCATATTGTAAAGGTTCACTTAAAGCTGAAAATAACAATCAAACCACAACCACACTTCATGAGACAAACAAAATTGTTCAATATTTGCCCCATTTATAAAGTGCTCTCCATCCCAAAGGACCAAAAAGTTCTTTAGATATAGGAGGGGACCCACTTCAACCACCAGTTTATCAACACTAGGAGTACAGAGCAGATCAGGTAGAAAGTGAGACATTGTCTGTTGCCAGTTAAACAGTTAAATAAAGGAATTTCAGAGGTGAATGTAGGCTGAACACCAGTGTTAACGCCTCTGCTCTTAATACAGTGCCTTGGTTCCTCTTCCAGTGTCCCTATCATACAGGAGTATTTGATTTGAAACTTTGGGGCTAGGGGGCCATCTAGTGGTCCAACATTTATAACAGAGACCTGATTTTCCTTAGTGAGCTCTAGGCCTAGTGCTGGCTGGGCTCAGCCTTGCTCCCAAATTCTGGCTAGAAGTTGGCAATGCTAATATCAGCTCCACAGGATTCCTTGAGTGGAGCTAGCAGGTGTCTTTTTTCCTCCAGGGTTGTGGCTTCTGTCATGCAAAATGGGAGTACAGATTACTCCAGGCTTCAGAATTCTCCGAGACATTATAAGCACTTAGCCCTGAAATAGCTAGTGCCAGATTTTGCTCAATAAAAGTGACAAAGCTGCTGGACCTCTACATAGAGATGAGCATTGTAAGAAATCTAGGGCACTGCAGCATGCATTATCATCACTTCAATGGGAAAACACGAGCATTCATTAATGCTTTTCATAACATAAAAAATGTAATATTAGATTAATAATCTTAATTTGGCATAGAGTTTATTTTGCACTTTGCAATAAACTGTCTGATGGGTGTGCCTAGATATTGAGTCATACAGAGAAAGAAAGTTTTGAACTCCTATTGACCACATGGAAAAAAAAAACATTCACCTTCTTATTTGCAGAAGGAGGTAACAGTGAAGCTACTGATTGCTTTGATAAAACACAAAGAAAGAACACAAGCTCTAAGTTAGATAAGGAACCTAAGTGTACAGAGAGGAATTATTGCTCCAGGTAAAACTTTTAAAATGAAACTGCCTTACTGCTTCTCTTGTACTATAGCTTGTGCAGTTTATTATAAATTACAGCATTATACTTTACAGCATTTTGTCAATTATGTAAAATACCAGCATCCTCTCCTTCCAGTTTACATTCTTACCCAGTTTTTCCTACCCTTGTATATTCTCAGTAAGATCTCTGCCTGCATGTGCTTTTGGGTTAGAGGGGTGCAGCATACTCCCCTGATGAGTACTTTATATTAAGAAATGGAATTTAGAGGGGCAGTGTGGTGGCTCTGTGGCTCAGGATCTACGCCTGTGGCTGGAAGGTTGCCGGTTCGTATCCCGTGTCCAGCAGAGGAATCCTACTCTGTTGGGCCCCTGAGCAAGGCCCTTAACCCCAACTACCCCAGGGGCACCGTATAAATGGCTGACCCTGTGCTCTGCCCCCAAGCTTCTCTCCATGTCTGTGTTTCTCATGGAGAGCAAGTTGGAGTATGTGAAAAGACAAATTCCTAATACAAGAAACGTTATATGGCCAATAAAGTGATCTTATCTTAGAGTTATTTTCCCGTTTTAAACATGACCAATGTGGTTTCATGATTTGGTTACGTACTGTACAAGGAGAACACATACCAAAGACATGGGAAAACAGCGTGGTTCAGGGGGATCAACAAAATAACAAAATCAATCTGATGAAGCATTGAGGTCCAGCACATACCTTTTACTTAATTTCTGTGTAGCTTGTAGGTTGCTTTGGACAAGATTGTCTGCATAGCAGATAGAAAAACACCTCAATCATCAAAACACCCAGCTTTTCAAGGTCTATGTCTTTATCATCATAACATTGGTCAGGGAGTGGAAAAGTACTGTACGTCTCAAAAGACCAGGAGTGATGGAGGCCATGTTGTCACAGGCTGATGAGGACGATTGAGGATTCAGTCTTCAACTACTAGGCAGGGACACATGAACAGCCATCTGGAGGCAATTACAGTAGTGGGTGTGACCCTGATCCATCTGTCGTATACTGGAATCATTACACCTGCCCTCAATGTGATCATTGATTTTTATGAGAGATGTTGGAAAAGCTCACAAGTGCAATCAGTACATCAACTGTAGGTGGTACATTTCATCTTGATGTATGCCCAGTGTTTGATTACATTCAATATTGGCATCACCTTGCGTTTCTTATGCATTTACAGTTAAGTATTAGTTATGGGTTGTGATCCAATGAATAAATTTAGTCCATACATTGCACATGTAATTCATGGAAACTTTGACCTGTCACACTATCACCAGTTTTCATGATAAAATATCTTTGGGTGATATTTGAAATTAATTCTTATCGTTTTACAAAAATGGCATTTACAAAGCATAAGTAGAATGACAATGAACCAGGAGATGCTCAGAAATAACTAAACTTGACTGCAAATCAAAAGATAATCTGGGAAATTCCATAAGAATAATGCAAAACGTTCCCCACAACACATTCAAATGGGCAGTAGCAAAGCTGCATTGGAGCAGAAAGACTCAATGATACCACTTTAGGTTCTCTTTTAAAAAAAATAAATTCTGGCCTAATTCTGCACACACAAACACTGAGTAACCTATTTTTTAAATTACCTTCGTGATAACCCCTTATCAAAAAGGTCATTTTTTCACCCACCTCTGTGCTGGAGTGGGTTTCACCAGCATCCTGGAGTCCAAACCCTCTTTCACATCTTCATCCGTTACCTGCCCCTGGTACCCCCTTAAGGAAAAGCACCAAAACAGATTCATCAATTTAAAAACTACACCTTCAACCGTTTTAACAAAACACGATGGCAGTCATCATTAGGTTATCAGAAAACATTAAGATTCTGGATTTATTTACAGCCATTACAACACAAAACCCCTTGCAAAATTTTCTGAATCAGTTCATGTGCTGGAAGAGTTGCACTCACTGCAAGAGTTTTGCAGTCCCAAGCAATGCTATTTACATTGAAATAGACTTTTGTTCTAGTGCACATTGATAGACACTCAAGTTACAATACAGAGGATAATTGTATGCACCTTGAAGGAGAGAAATAATCAAATATGCTTCATTGCTGAATAAGTGTAAGTCTAATAAAATAGATTTGCTTTTATTAGAAGTGTTTTCTGGCAAGATTTGCAAAAGACCATGCTGTTTATTTGACCATGGCTGGACTGTGAACATTAATGTTGCCCAACCTTGATATTGTCAATTACTCGTATGTGTTTACTTGGTAAGTAAATGGTTTGGCACATCCAAACAAACCAGGAATCCTGAGATTCAATAGCAAGCACTTTCTTGTTGGTACATTGCTGAGCCACTTCCAAGTTTATAACAGAACATGTTCTAAGACTAAATGGGCAGCATGATGTTGCAGTACTTAGCATTCATGTCTCGCAACGCTGAGGCCCTGGGTTCAATTCCTGACCTGGGCTGCTACCTGTATGGAGTTTCTATGTTCTCCCTGTGATTAAATGGTTTCCTACAGGTGCTCTGGTTTCCTCCCAAAGTCCAAAGACATACTTATAGGTTAATTAGCTTCTGGGAAAATTGGCCCTGGTGCAAGTGTGTGCATGTCTGTGCCCTACAACAGACTGGGTGTACTCCACCTTGTGCGCGTTGCTTGCCAATAAACATTAGAAAATGGAAGGATGTTTTTTTTTTTTTTTTTTTAAGTCTGACTAACCAGATTGAGATGATGTTAAAATAAACAAAGAAGGAAAATGGGAACATGAAGTAGGGGATTGGAGCTTTCTGCATGCTACTACAGCTGCTAACTGAACTATGTAGCAGCACTCATCAGTTCTGGTACCTGAATGAATGAAATCTTCAACAAGAGAGCCCATTGTCAGTTATTGGTGCAGGTGCTGGGACTAAGCCTGAAAAAGGAGTCTTATTTAGCATGCTTCTATCATGGGGCACGTGACAAAGAACAGTCTATTCATCCTTACCCAACCAAAAAAACAAAACCACACAACAGCTGATGCACATATTCACAACATATTCCTTAATTCCTCAGTTTGCCAATGACTCATGGCAGGGAATAGAGCTGCAGGGTCCTGTGAAACATCACAGCCAAGGCAATCTTGTATTCCACAAAAACAGATGAATCCCTGTGGATTTGGACAGTGCAATGAAGTGGGAAGATTACCTCTAAAGCAAGCCACAAAAGAGTGCTGAGGGATAAATAAAAGTATTAAAACAACCAAAGTATCCAAAAGTAACTGTAAATATCCTCAGATCATGTATGAACAGATGCCTGTCATCTGAAGATTCCAACTATGTACTTTACACCTCAGGCTTTCAACAAAGGGAAACCACAACAGGCAGCGTGCTGGTGCCCTGGCCAGCATTGCTGCCTTCACAGCACTGAAGCCCTGCGTTCATTTTCTGGGGTGCTATCAGCGTGAGGTTTGGATGTTCTCCTCGTGTTCTGGTGGGTTTCCTCCAGGTGCTCCAGTTTCCTCCCATAATCGAAATCCACAAATTAATTGAGTTCTAGAAAAAACTAACCCTGGTGCAAGCGTGTTTGCGTCTGTCTGTCCTTCTGATGGACTGCTATCCTGTCCAGGTTATATCTTCCCTTGCGTCCACTGCTTGCCCGGATAGACTCTGGCACCCCCATCCTCTTATTGAGAGGAGCATTACCACCTTATGTGCCAACTCCAGTGGCCCAGTGCAACTCTTTTGCTCATCTGGTATCATCCTGAAATCTTTATATCTTCGAAACTATGTTTTGACAGCAGAGTCGCCTTTTTAATTCCTTCGACATTTACTGCTGCCTGCAACATTGAAATTAACGAAGAAGCTGAATTGTCACATTCAGCTGACAATTTTTCACCAACATATTTTCCAGTGGGGCTGCAAAACCTGGAGATATGAGGAATAAAAAGCTACTGCTGGGAACCTTGGTTGTGTCATTAGCCAACACTGACCAGAAAAGTACCTGTGCAAGAATTTAGTGTGAACTTGGGTAAGAAAGTAGCATCAATAAAATAAAAGCATAATTTACCACTTGGATTGGAAGTCCATCAATCATACTTGTACATTTTAACACTGGGGTACAGATGTACTGAATACAGAACTAATCCAGTGTTCAGTGAAAACACAGTATATGCTAACTTCATGAAAAGCTAATTTTGCAATCGTGTCAGAAACTTAATTTTTCCTCTCTCTGCAGTTTTCAGTGTACAAGACATCCATTTGTAACAGGTTATAGTACAGCTAATTCCTGATCAAAATTTACTGCAGGAATTCCTAAGCACTTGTGACAGTTTTTTCTGCTTCTTCCACTAAAAGCTGCAGCTTTTTTCTGTTCTCTGCCCTTCGCACAATTCAATTCCCCCTTTCACAGCACTTCCTGCAGATTTCATTTCTCATTATTCCGTAGGTCAGCAATATTTTCTGGAGAAGGGTGTGATGGCAAAGGGGGTGGGTATGTCCGAATTTGCAAGCTCAATTAAAGTTTTCCGATATTTATTCAGCAATAATCAGAAAATTATACGAGTTGGCAATACTTCATGAGCAAACAGTTGTGAAAAATACCTTTGAACACACACCTAAATGTCATAATATCTAAATAAGGCACCTACCATCAGAACATGCACCTTGAGATTGCAGTGCTTATTTTTTAGGTCACTGAATCAAGCGTTTACTTTATCGTGTTACATTTTGTTACTACATTATTAGGAGTATAGGACCTGATGCCTTGTTTTCTACCCAAGCCTAAATGAATACTGCCGTAGCTGAGCAGCTCAAAGGATCTACAGCTCTTAAAGGATACCCGTGAGCAACTGTGACAATACAGCAGATCTCCTCCAGCTGATGCCCCCTCTTCAGTAGGCACTGAGCTGCCAATGGGTGCAGAGCCGGGAAGAGGAAAGCATGTGTACATACAGTCCACAGCTCTAGCAGTGTCATAGCAGTGAGCCAAGCACACTAACAACCGATTCTTCTAAACCCGAACTGGAGCAAAAACAAAACTGTTGATTCCAAAATTAAAAAAATAATTTTGGAACCCAAATATTTTCTCAGTTAATTTCATGCAAAAATCAGATTAAGGAACTGCGGCTCCGGTAGTTCTCAATATTAGCAACAGATAGGTCAGTACTAGTAGTGTAATTAAATTGTGAAAAAAAAAAGAGACAACAAAGCCAATGGAAAAGCCCCACATCAGGAACTATTAATAGCCCTATAAGCCTTTTGTTTCCAGAAAGCTTTGACTGCAGGTCTCAAAGAATAAACTGAAGGCCATTTCCCGAAAGAGATAAACACACAGAGAACCTGTGAACCCATGCCTTGTAATTAAAGATGACATCATAAGCCCTTTAATACAATGGAGTGCCTGTTTCAAAAGAGGTCGCAGACACCAATTTTGTGCTTCGTGCTTTGCCAGTAATGTGGAGGGATGAGGCTCAGACCAGGGGCAGGATGGAGCCACTCCACCTGCAATCAGAAGTACAGAGGTGTAGTCAACCTTTAAAATAGCTTCAAGAACATTGTGGTTTACAATATCCATACCTATTTTCATTGATTTAACCGTTCTGGAATGCATTATCTCACATTAGATGATGGAATTTTTACCTCAGCAATGACCTAGAATACAGCCGTAGTTAGCAAGTTCAGAAGTCTTTTGCATGGCAGCCACACAGCCCAGAACCAGACTGTAAGCTGCATCCTTTTCCTGTTCAGTACATTTTAATGCAGATCAACAGACATAGTGCCCCACCTTCATGCCAAGCAGATCCTTAGCCACAGAGCCACTGCTCCGCCTGATTTTGCACAATCAGGAACAAATATTCACTCCACCTACTCCACACTTCCAAGTGCATTCTTATTCTAGATTTGAAAGCTACCATCCTTTCACCTAGAGAGAATGGATCTTGATAATTGGCTTTGCAAGGTGTCATAAAACTGCCTAACAGGGTTCTTAAGCTGCATAGTCTTACAAAACCTTGAAATATATTTCATCGCTTCATTTTCCTCATCCTCCTCTGGATCACCCATGTGGCAATTCCAGATAACAGAAGGATCGTGACAGCTGAACATTCAACCCTACAACTGTTGTTCTGTACTGCTGATGCTGGGAGATCACTGTTCGGAAACAAAAACAGTAAATGGCAAAGAGCCAAGAGATATCATTGGTTTATCATTGGTTTTTATTGCTGTAAATACAATAAAGATCATTATCCTGGCATGTTTTTTCACTATGTTCAAAGTAACTCAAGTGTATGATAGGCAGACAGGAATGGTCAATTAGATGTCACAAAAACATACTGTACAATGCCAAAAATTTTTCTAAAAACATACATGCATAGAGGGATGTTTCATTTGATGCTCGGTATACTTAAAAACCCTACAAAAGATCCAATCTAAATATTCCAATGTATTTGCTCAAGAGTCCTTCACTTACAAAAATGTATATCACTCTGCGTCTCCCTATTTCTACGTTTCTGCTCTATTAGCACAACACAGAATGAAATTGCAAGGCCTGAGACAAGCACACAATAGGATACGTGAAAGCTACAACCTCCCCCCTTTCCTTTGAGAAGACACTCTGCAAGGCTAATATTCTAAGTAGTAGATCAGAAGATTAAAAAATTGTAATGGTTCGCTGTTCTCAGCCCCTGGCATACAAAGAACTCAAGGAGTCCCTCCCCCCCAAAAAAAACAAATTGTATGGCAATGTAACTGTTGCATAACTTAATTATTTTTGCGTAACAAAATAGTCGAGTGCATCAGGATAATGGAAATAATGGAACCATTTACCAAATTCAAATTGAAACCAGACCCACACTAATAAAAGCCTGGGAGAACTTATGAAAGCAAAATCCCTCCCCCATTAAAAAATGTACCTGAAAAAGCCTCCAAATATGTTTTGATAATTGCAGTGAATTAAATATGCATTAAATGCAGCTCTTATTCAAAACCATCTCACATCTTTCAGATGTTAATCATTTTTAAATGACCCATTTAACAGTAAAGACAAGTTGTTCAAGAAAATTGCAGAGTATTGTAAATGGCTGAAAGTGCCTTGCAAAACATTTTTAGATTTTATTGATAGAGGAAAAGTACTGGATGTAGCACATATTTTAATTATGAGGGAGATTCAGAAATTCTTCTGCTGTCTTTTATACACAGCTTACATTGCACCAAATGACTTCAAAACTACAGAACAGTCTCATCATATGTTGACAATATTGTTAGATTCCTCTATCATGACATTCTACAGTTTTTAGTATCACACACTCTTATTCCAACCAGGGACAAATGTATCCCTTTCTCAGACTGAAGGTCTCTGATGTACTTCAAGGTCCTTCTGAGCACAGCATTTTTTTTAAAAACACATTCACTGGCAAGCAAACAGACTAATTACTTTGGTGCAGACAACAGTCTACATCAGCTCAAGAAGAAGAAAACAAATGTGTACTCTAGTCTAATTTAGTGTTTGTCTTGCTCACAGACAAACATTTAGCAAAATGCTTATTCACTTGTCTCAAGACTGTGCTTACAAGGTTTCAACGTTCAAAACGTCCAAACTTAAAATTACTAATTTGAGTTACATAGGAGGTCACTTAAAAGTTGAGAAATTCGAATTAAGGAACTACTAGTTACATCTGTTAGGATCTAATTGTATGGCAGAACCCAGCCCATATAAACAGTAAGCAAATGAGCCTCAATGGCAATTTAAATGAAATATTTTGGGAAGGGGCTGGGGCAAACAAAGGTATTATATCTTGGTTTTTGGGCAAGTTCTTTAATCCACACTACAGAATTCAAAGATTTCATCAGATTTATTGCAACAGATAAAGATTCAACCTTTGGGTCACAGGCAAATCCAAAGCAGATTACAAAATCCAGATGGGTTGTGTCAAATGATCATATTTTGTAACTGGGAGCCTTTTCAAAAGACTGATAAATACGATCACTGAAGAGAGACATCAGTGTAATCAGTGGGTATGGGGCACAGCACCGGTCACTGTCCTTCTAAAACCAAACCTAGCACAAAAGTCAGTCTACTAGACAGGGCAGAATGACAGCTGTATTATGCTGTGTATAGTGCATTTCAACTCAAGCAATACACCACAGTGCTTTGAAGGAACTCCACAACTGAGACAACTAGCTCGTTATTTTTCTCGGGAGCACATCCTCTTTGGGTGCCTCAATCTGTCCAACACCATCAGCTGACTGCGACCAGGACTCCAAGGACCAATGCAGGATTCTTCCAGTCTCCTCTACTGAAGCTTCTCTTTAATGTTTTGTCTGCTACTGGTATCATTAGCTTTCCCGGGCATACCTATGTACTGTACTGCTCCTCACCTGCCACTACACAAGGACATATTTAACCTACCAAAGACACATCTGAAAAAAAACCTCCCCAACAAAACCTCAATGCAGACTCCACCTGGGCATCACTGGACGTAAACAATTACCACATTCTACAGCCTACCCAACAAGAGATCCACTCAGAATCGCTTTAGGACTAGATGTGATCCATGTCTTGCCAACCTCAATAGATAGGAAATCAGTGAAATCCATCTTTAATCCTGTCAGACTTAATACAATATGCAGCACATCCTAGAGGAAAGCCAATCCAGAGATTCAGTGGAGGACAACTCACCCTTAACACACCTGGACAAGATGCATTTGCTTGGCTCTGAGACTTTGCATTTGTTAAAAGAAAAAGACTGCTGCATTGGAGTCAAAAACAAGGCAAGTTTCTTTGGCTTGTCTTGGTCCCAGGACCCCCTGTATTAAAAATCCTTCAGTATGCAGTGTTATCAATTGCATCTTAGGTCTTCAATGTGGTACCTTTGCTTTTCTGTTAGTAGATTACCATTTGCCAAGACCAGAATTAGGGGCTATGAAAATGGAGATGGTTCAAAGTCAAAACAAATCACCAGCACATCACTGTTCGTATATTGTCCACAAATGGCAAGCAACTCTTCTAATTGTGCAATAACCATTCTTAAAGGTCCCCATGGAGTCAGCTTCAACCACATAGCTTAAGAGTGGACTGCAGACATCCACTCTCCCATGTAGAATTTCTACTGTTGGCCCTAGGCCCTTGTATTCCTCCGGATCTTAAAATAATCTTACAGGGTAAGAATCCTGAAAGGTATTCAACACCTAAATTAAGTACCAGAAAAATCTTTAGTCCAGTGGTCTCTAGTACCAATTTGAGCTAACCATTAACTTCAACACTTTCTGGAGACCTAAAGCCTGCTGGATACTAGCCCTCGAGGATGTATCTATGCTTTAATTAAGCCTTTTGTAGTCTGAGCATGGTGTTCCCTTCATGTCTGGTTGCTCTCCTTTGTACTGCCTCTAGAACAGTAGCAATAGTTAAGAGGCACTTTAATTCCATGCCACTGTAAGACTTTAAACATTCTGTTCGGTAATAATAATTGCTTACACTTAAATATCGCTTTTCTGGACACTCCACTCAAAGCACTTTACAGGTAATGGGGATTTCCCTCCACCACCAGCAATGTGCAGCATGTGTTCTTGAGGACAAGTCTAATGCTGTGGGTTTTCCTATATTCACTAAATTTAATTTAATATACAGAACAATAAGTCAATTCTACTGTAACAATTAATGCAACAGAAAAAAGAACATATTAAAGCAAACTGCAGAAACAACAGTTTCATGCTAGGTGGCCCAGTGGTGCAGCCTGAAAGGCCTGAAGCTATTCCATCCGCCCATCATCTAACTGGTTCTTCTAGGGAACAATATATTCTGTCAGAAATAGAGAAATTAAAATCATAGTTTTTTTAACCTTAAATACATAAGAAATCATTTAAGCATCATGACAAATTCTGCACATTCTTAATCAGCTTGATATAGTGCTCTAATTGTTTTGCATTAACCTGTGAGAAAGCATGTATTATCTGATACGTTTAACTTGTGCAGTTCATTAAAAAAAGACATCTGAAATCTCACCTGCAGGCTTCAAAGTGCATTACCAGAAGGTATATAAACAGTCATTGCAGGCCCAATTTTAAGAGATATTTAACGGTTTAAAAAAAATAGTGCTAGATCTTCGCTCAGGATAAATTAAGGGTGAAGGGCAGGATTAGCTTGTGTCACCCTTGTTTTCTCCAAGTAACAAATCCAAGAAAAGGAATCATGAAGCCACTTAAAATAGTAAGTTGGGGGTTCACAACGTTTCTAGTGACTCAAAGGCCTGCTGGTCTTCTTTCTATCAAGCTCATTACTCGATTAACATAACCAAAATAACTAGATTAAAATGTTTTCCCATCTCTACTCGGAATTAGGAGCACTTCGAATTACATACAATCGAAACACTCGTTTAAAGTTAACTTCCAACATGTTTAGGTCTCAATAGCCCAAACTAATACTATTATGATAGTTAAGAGTTCAATTACTTAAGAGCTAAACCGAAAATAAAGCTAGCAAACGTGGGTATCCCTCGACCAGAGATGGGAACCCCTGAAACAGACTATTAAGCGAAAGATTCTAAGGGACCTTAAAAATTAAAATGACAAGCAGATAAACCACACAATTAGAGTAATGAACGATGTTAAGCATACACAGACAAGCTGCCTGTGTAAAGTGTTACTTTGGAATGAGAGGCGAATGTCTGCACCAACTCTCCTGGGGAAAAAAGCTAATTAAGGAATTCTGAACGTGTGCGGTCTTGCAGGAAAGAATTCGCTTGTACTCAAGATTTCCCATGCAGAGCTTCATTCAGTCTGGCTGTTCCACTGTACCTAGTTTTGACTAACAAAAAGTAACGCAAAGTATCAGCCCATTTCTTTAAAAAGTTCCACCTTTTCTGTTCAAAACAAGCAGGTTTACTGTGAAAACAAAATGCTCGTTTGGAGTGCTTTATTGTGCTTTTTAACTCTCAAATAAAGAAAACAAGAGCGTCACCCATTCGCGACCAGTAACAACAGGGTCTCCTCCACTAACCATGTACTGAAGAGTGGCCTTAGTAAAAAAAAAAGGCAACACACTAATCAACAAATGGTACTTTTTAACACAGCATAACTTACTACGTCTGCACGTTGCTTCGTTTCAGTGTATTTTATTAAGTCTCATCGGATCAAGACGCCAAACAAATAATCTTCAGTTAAGTCCATACGAATGTGAACACAAATGTACGGGTTTCTGTGCGCTAATCCAAACAAAAGTAAGTTCAACAAAAGGAAAAGCGTTTAGCGTTCCATTATTAAGGTCACTATGAATAAAAACCTTTTTAAACTGCGGGGAATCCGTAATATAATGCATAATACCATGGGTTTTGCCGTTTAACTTGACCTGAAAAAAGTTTTGTATCCTATCGTCTTGGTGAGACAGAGGATTTACCTTTGTGAACTGATTGCATCTTCCCCATCCCAAGAAAAAAAAACGGTATATAGTTAACGGTAAAAAAAAAAAGATTTCGGAAGTCTACTGTACCTTTGTTGCAGATCATTCCCGAAGTGAAATAAGAAATCCAGTTCATAGTAATGTCCATAGATAAAAGTACTGAAGGTAAAAAAGGCAGCCCCCAAAACAAACACACACTTCCATCGGCAGTTCGGCATCCTTGATCTACGAATGGAAATAACAAATCCTACTGGTCACGCTTGCCTTTTGAGCTTTTTACCTGTAGAAACCAGATAAACTCCGCAGACGCTTTACACACACACATTATTGCCATGCAAAATCTGCTCTCATTTGCCTGCTTCCTCCCTTTTCTAGTGTCCTGCACGCTTTCCCGTATCTGCACACACTTCGTTTCAGCTGAATCCAGTTCTCAGTAAATCCGTCCATGAAGTAGATGGTGTATTTCCCCTCGGTGATTTAGAAAACGGGCTGCAAGTTACTCTCATACTCCCGACGTGCGTGTTTTCTCAGATGTATAACGCTCCTGAGCTTAAAACTGTAGCCAGACCAGCGATTTTATCCGCTTTTTAAAAGTTGTGACAGTTTTATTATTTGTGTTGGTATTCTTTGTTGCTCCAACGACACTTTTCTTTGCTACTCTTTTCGGGTATTTGGTAAACTGGGGGTAACAAATGTACCAGTATTTGCTTTGTATTCGATTTTTGGTCTGAAAACGAAGACAAATGTGTAATACAAAATGGAAGATGCCACATGATTGAATAAACCTGAAATCAGTGAAATTAGTGACAGATTGAGAACTACAGAAATGTGAAATAACGTGATAATTAGAACGGTGACATAGCACTAGTTAGCGCCGTTGCCTCGGGGCTCTTGGGTAGATTTCGCCCTTGGGCACACTCTGTGTGGAGCGTGCATGTTCTGTTGTCTTACCGCAGTCCAACAATACAGATATAACTGTGTGTGTCCTGCCCATTGTCTGCCGGATTAGGCTCCAGCTCACGCAAACAGGTGTTGGAGAAAGCGGTTATTTAAAATGATTGGGTGGAGTTACTAAACAAGACACCAAGGGAAATTAATGACTGTATAACACCACCATAGCCTACAAACTCACAACTAGCAACCCGCTGAAGCTCAGCAAGTGTGAGTCTGGCCAGTACTTGGATGGAAGACCTCATGGGAAAGCTAAGGTAGCTACTGGGATAGGTCTCCTAATACCTAATACCCCAACGTGGTGATGGGGATAATGTACTGTAAAAAAGGCGCTTTCCTTCGGGTGAGACATAAAACCGAGGTCCTGACTTTCCGTGGTAATTAAAAATCCAAGTTCAAGTATATTGTCATGATACTCATATACAGGTATATGGTGTAACGAAATGCTATTTAGCTAGCTCTCAGACAATAAGTAGTACAAAAAAAACAAAACAATACAATTGTATAATAAAAGAAAGACAAAGACAACAGGCAGTGTGCAAAACAACAAAAGGTAACAGGTAATATGCAAAACAACATCAGATGTGCAAAAACATGCATCAACGGAATGAAATAAAGGATAGAAAATTATGGGGAGGGAGCTTTTGACATGTAAGGTAGAGGTAGATTTCAATGTGTGTTTGAGTTTTTGGTAATAAAGAAGGCACTGTGAGGTTCAGATCGTAGGTGAGAGGGCTGGGAGTTTAATAGTTTGATAGTGCAGGGGTAAAACAAATCCCTCGATGTTTCTCAAAAAGAGTAGGGGTGTTACCCCTGTGTCCTGGCCAGATTTTCCCCTGGCCTTTACCAGTCACGGCCTTCTAATAATCCCCATCTATGAACTGATATAAAATGATATTATTATTACTACATTGTAGATAAATGGTGTAAAAAATGTCGCAGATTCAAGTAGTAATTTCTCACTTCTATACCATATCAGCGAGGTACCTGTGGAACTGTACACATAAATTCGGTTGCCACACACAACTAGGTGAAGAATTCTAATGCTATAAAAGACCTTGTTTACAGACATACCATGATGATTATCTGGCTTAGCAGACTTATGTAGCATTTAAAGTACAAAACAGGAGGTGGTAAGCCCGGTGATGACTGAAGGTTGGACTTTAAAGGTGTTGTCTTGCTGAAGCCAGTATTGCAGGTTAGAAACATGATGTAAACATGTAACCTGCTGCTTAGCAGTCACTGTGCTTCATACCAACAGTCGCATGTTATTTTACCATTTTGCTAATAATTGCTAAGTACATGTTTAGAATCCTCTGTCCACATTCAGCAAAATGATGTGTCTCTGCAGAATTCATCTGTTCTAAAAGCATTATCTGCTATTGCAAATATATTTTTTTGTTACAAGGTAAAAATATGTCAATAGACAAAAAAAACAGTAGTGAGAGAAAAGCAAAATAAAGAGTTGTGTGATCTAATTACCAATCAATATTTTGAGCAGGGACTTGTTGTTTTGCATGCCTGTCTTGTCATATGACAAAACTATTTGCATATTTCAAAGACTGCATGGCTTGCAATGCATCCCTTAGAGAATGCAAACAAGACAACATTTTCTAGTAAAACAGAAGATGTGCATAGCATATGATTTAAATGATTGCCATATGATAATTAAAAGCAGTGAGGCAGGTTCTTGCTGAGAAAGCTGCTTCGGTCTTAACTTGCTTATAAAACTCAGGACATGTTTAATGTGGATCTTGCTTTTAAAATGTAAAGGGGAATAAAATGTGAAACCAGATGTATTGGATTATTTCATATAAATGTATCAATTCCTGCATTTATAGGATTTAAGTAAATGAATTTTTAAAAATTGCCCAGTGTCTGACCAAAATATATAAGAAGGCCACTTCTAAATCTTCTATAGGTCTTGCTCTCTTGCCTAAATAGAGCATTTAAACTCTCGAGCTTAAAATATCTTTTCATACTACTATCAATTGGTTACTATCAATGGCCAGACTTCAGAAGATGGTAAGACAGCTGGAGAGGTCAGAGGGAGAATTTCCCTGGCTTATAAACTGAGTGAAAGAAGACTTCTCCAGTTAGAAAGAATAAGTGAGTCTTAAGGGTAACCTAGCAACCGGAATGATTCAGCAGGACCACAAGTCTGGTCTGCAGCAGAAGGCCTAAACATTTAGCCAATCATCCAGAATCTGTTTACTCATTTTTTGTCTAGCTTTGCTGAGCTTTCCCAACTTCACGTCCAATTCACATCAGCTGGAATTCTCTTCAATTCATCATTTATGAGGCCCCCTTGGTCCGTACACTGATCTAATTCAAGATAAAGGAGGCAACAAGTAGCTGCTGTTGTCCTAGAGATTTTTGTCACACCCAGAAGAATTTATGCAGGAGTTTGAAATGGAGTGGGATTCTCAGTGATACTTTAATCTTAACTGATTCAGGAGGGTGGGAGTATTTCATAAATAAAAGTGCCAGATCTGACCTGTACAAAATCAATTCCAATAGCCAGGAAACAAAGACAGGAAATTTGTACGCTATGCAATGTTACGGGAAGCCCTACTGTGCATGAAACTAACACAGCCATGCTTGTTTACAGCCAAATTAACTAGCTGTAAGGTTCATGGTTAATATGATGTACAACTAAGATGCAGTCTGGAGCCGAGAGTTGTGCTGACATACCTCACCACCAAGACACCTGACTGCAGTTCTCTATAGTAAGTAGAAATTATACAGTGGAACCACTTGGAATGGGAAACTCGTTATAAATAAAAAAGAGTATTTCATGGTATTTTATGGGTTGCAGCCCCTATAAATCATAAAATTGCATGCCCTCTGTTGTTTTATGCTCACATGTAAACTCAGGAAAACTTAATGTCAGCTATGATTACCTTTCTTGGCACATTAAAGATAGATAGATAATAATTTATTAATCCCGTAGGGAAATTGATGAATGAATTGATTATGAGGCACTGAGTGAACAGAGTTGGACAAGATGGCAAAGAACACATCAGAATGTCAACACACCAGAAATAATTAGTCCAACATTATTTATTGGTTTATGAGCCACACAAAAAAAACAGAAACCACACTGCCTGATTCAATTTTACTTACGAATTATGCTCAGTTTCTATTTGCAGCACCTGTATTCTTTAATGTAGGAACTAATTGCGTTTAGTGCTCAAACTTAAATTCTCAATGTAC